ACACACACACTGGGCTGATCAAGTGCCTCAATGATGCATTTATCTATACTACTACTACTAATATACACACATACACAAACACCAGGCTGATCAATTGCTTTCTGCTAATTAGCTTCTGGCTCAGGCTTCCAGTCATTTATTCTAAGGGGAAGTTACCCTGAAGGTAGGGCCTAGAAAGACGACTCCTCTTAGAAATTATATTACATGGCCCCCCAATACTAACATACTTTGAAACTAAGGCATGGTGCGAGATTTTGAAAAGTACGTACGCCAATGAGTTGCGGTGCAGTCAACACTGGCATTGCACTGAGATGCAGCTGTTTTTCCGTTAGTAGTTGCTCAGGTAGCGTATCCTGGTGTAGTAGAAAACGTTCCTGTTCAGCCATTTCTAGTATTCAGAATGAGCGAGAGAAAGAGACCACACATATGAACGAGAATAATATACATCCCACCTTTTGGTCTGTTGTAAAAGAAAAATCTGAATTTAAAAAAATAAAGAAAATAAAATTAAAAATAAAGAAAAATCTGAGTTTAAAAAGAAAAAGGCAACCTCATTGCTATTCAATGATCTTAAAATACGATTCTATGATTAATTCTTGATTATGCTAATAGATTTATGGTTTGATCTAAATCATATTAATTATCACAGCCATCAGAAACAGGAACACAGAGGAAATATTTCCTATTGCCTGAAGAAGTTGTAGAAGAGAGACCCGTTTCATGGCCCTTGGGTATGGGGTCTTTTAGTTCTGCATGTCGGGGCAAACAGGAAAGTGCTTTCTTCAAGCAGTTTATGGTACAGTTTCACTCACAAAAGAACAATGCTCAGAAACGCACAACATTCCTCTAGTTCTTTAACGCTTCCTCCCCCAAACTATCAGGACCCCATTTCTACCTTACAAACCCGGCTAGACCGTGTCATGTACACTGGTACAGATAAGAGCTCTCGACTCACAGAATACAGGACAAATAAACCCCTCGGGTACAGTGATGGGAGTAGTGATACTATGAACAACACCCCCACCCCTAGGGGGACAAACAACAGAAACACGAGTGAAGGGAGACAGCAGACAGTGTAAGATATGAAAATAATAATTTATCAAGAGTTCACCAGGTGGGAGAGTTGGGGAGGGAGGGGTAAAAGAGAGGCTGATACCAAGGGCTCAAGTAAAATGAAAATGTTTTAAAAATGATGATGGCAACATGTACAAATATGCTTGATACAATTGATGTATGAATTGATATAAGAGCTGTAAGAGACCCCAAAAAAAATTATTAAAAAAAAAAAAAACAATGATTATTTTAAAAGCCACCATGACTATATCCTAGGAAAAACAAATGTGTAGTAACATACCGCAGCCAGAGTAACTAGCAGTGGTGAGCTCTGTAAAATGAGATGACAGGGGCTTTCCTTTCCTATATCACATATTACCATCAATGATCCAGACGGCAGCCCATTAAGTGGCCATGCCCATGAGACTGGGTTACATTACGGGGATATAGAGTTGAAAACTACTATGCACTCATAAACACAGACGTTAAAGCAAAATGGAATGATCAAAAGCAGAAACATCATTTCATATTCTGCAGTTTTGTAAAACCTAATGTTTTATTATTCATGTACATTTCTGTACCTAATAAAGAAGACTGGAACAGCACACACAGAACCTTAAACCAGTGGTTCTCAACCTTCCTAATGCCCGACCCTTCATCTTGTGGGGACCGCCCCCCCAACCATAAAATTATTTTCACTGCTACTTCATAACTGTCATTTTGCTACTGTTGTGAATTAGGCGACGCCTGTGAAAGGGTCATTCAACTCCCAAAGGGGTCACGACCCACAGGTTGAGAACCACTGCCTTAAACAGGAGTAACCTTTAAGATGGTAAAATGATCATTTACTTTTCTGTTGCATTTTTTCCCTATAATTTGAAAACTCTCCACAAGATTATTTATAGAACACACACACACACACACACAATTAGGCTAAAAAAAAAAGAACAAAAATAAAACCTGCCATTGATATTAGCTACACTGGAATAATAAAAATTTCATAACAGAAATTTTAAAAGCTCCTTGCCATAAAGTCAATTCTGACTCGTAGCCATCTGAAAATATCCCCATTACATTAGCAAAGCACAGGATTAAGATCCAGTCAATGCTAAACAATCACAAGAATTCCAAACATCTGGAGAGAAAAGTGCATTTAAAAATAACATGATAAAAATATGGGTTCTCTTAGATTATCAGGCAGCCCTACACAATATATAAGTATGACTAAATATGAGATTAAAGGAAGATGTTCCTAAACAGTAACACCTAATTTAAAAGATAAACCTTAAAAATGCTAATACCTATGGCTTTAGTGAGTACTTTATGCAAACCTTTCCAAGGAGCACACATTACTGCAAATCCTTGGAACTACATTTATATAAGTTTATTTTATAATCAAGCCATTTTATAAGGAGAAACTGAGGATCAAGAGGCTTAATCAACAATACAAGATCACAAAGCTAGTAAATTCTAGAGACAAGATTTCAAAGGACCTATCTGTGCTCTGTCCAGCTTCTTACTACACCCATTCCCTTGGACGGACAATGAAAAACGACCGCAGTAGAATCTGAACTTAGAACTCAGAAGGCTGCATTCGTTGTGACTAACACATACAATGAAAAATTTGTTTCTACATACATTTCATCCCTGACCACATACCGGATATCTCCCCTAATTTTATTTTGAAATATTCTATACCAACAGAAAAACTTTAACGAACGCAATGTACCCTCAATCTATAGTCACCTGCCATTAACATTTTGCCACTTTTAGTTTCCCTTATTATCTCTATCTCTATCTATGTATGTTCCCCCACCCCTAATTACATCAGAGTTAGAAATATATTTCACCTCTAAATAGCCTAGCCTGCATCTCCTAAGAATGGATGACTATAGTATCAATATCAGACTCTTAAGAAATTTAATATAAAGTAGTATCATCTAATATTAAATATGTTCAAATTTTCCAGTTATATGTTTCCATTATTTGGGGGTGATCAAGAATCCAATCACGACCTTCACAATGCATAACTTTTTGAGTTCTTATCATCTGTAATGGGGCAGGTCCTGCACCAGTTTTTGTCTTTCAGGTCCCTTAAATTTTGAATCACCATGGTCCATTACACTGTAATATTATCAGGATTTACCTCCTTGTTTCTTTGTGATTAGATTTAGGTTGGCTGTTTTAGCAAGAATACCACCTAGGTGATACTGTAATGGCCACATTACATCACATCAGGAAGTACATTTGTGAACCTGTCTCCTTGCGGATGTCAGATGTGGGTATTTAAGAAGCAATCTGGGCACCAAAACTCTGCAAACAAGGGTTTAGCCTGTTCCTCCACATTTCAAAAAAGTCAGCACTTTCTGTGGTTGCAAAAGGGTGATTTCCTAAGTCTACACGTTTCCTACATTTATTAGTGGCATTTTTGTAAAGAAACATCCCCTTCCCTTTTGGATATTACTGTGGATTTATGGTTTTTAAATACATATGTAAATTATCATCCTTTACCATCATTCTTCTTGAGGTTCACATTACCCCCCAATTTGGCCAGTGGGAGCTGTTCAAGGCTCTTGTATCATGCTGACATCTCCATTAACCTTGATTTTAGATGCAACAGGGCTCTACAACCATCTTTTCAATAAGCCCTCATCTCTTCTTAGTGGAAAATGGTTTGGGGAAACAAAATATGGGACTAGGTATTCACCAATTATGGGGGTCTCATTTCTTTTAGGTCCTTTCCATAGAATAAGCCTGGGAATATAATTTTTTTTAAATTATAACTCCATTCACTAGCACCATTTAAGTTATGTCAAGATTAATATACCAATAACATCCCTACAACAAAGTTACTAAGTAAAGGTCAAGATTTCTCTGCAGTTGCTGTTGTCTTTGGAACATGTGAAACTAAGGAGACATAACCAGAACACACCATGCAAAATGACTGAATTTGTTTTTTAGGAAGTCACATTTAAAACAAAATTTACCTTCCCATAAAAACAAAACAAATCAAAACAAAAAAAAAACCCTCAAGTACATAACTTCTTTTATATAGAGACAGAATTTTAAAAACCACTCCTCTTACGATACCATTAAATGACAGCATGGCAATATGCATCTTTTCCTGTTCAAATTCTTTTTTTACCTTCAATTTTCTCTTGCAATGTGTCCTCGGCAAAGTCGGAAGCCAATGCAGCTAATTTACTCAAGCCAAGAAGGGTTTTTTTCTTTGCAAAATAACGAGTTTCCATATTTGCCAAACCTAGAAGGGTTGCATGAGCCTACAACAAACAAAATATGAAAATTGAGATAAGATTCTGTACTAACTAAAGTTGAACTAAAGATTAATAAGTATTCCTCAAACCAATCCTCTTGCACTGAGCTCTATCAATGAAAAGTATCAATCCAACAGCATACCAAAAAACTTGTCAATATTGTAAGACTGATGGTAATAAAATAAATCCCAAACATCCAGTTAATTATTAGGAAAAGAGACATGACATTTGCTAATAATTTATAAATTCGTTTTAACTTTCTGCCAAACACACTTTAAAGTTAATGTGTACGCTGTTTCTAACCACAATATGATCATTTTTCATTGAAAGAAAATATTCACTACAAAAAATGTCAATGACTGTTACTTAAACATTAGCAAGCCACTTTTATTTTACTGTGACAGTAGCCACATCAGAATGGACTATAAATTTATATGATATATTAGAAGGAATGACAATATCATAAATAAAAAGAATTCTTTATTCTAGTTACATGATTGAGTGGAAGGTAGCGACATTTCTTAAATAATGTTTAACATTAGTAAAATAATTAAGAATGAATCATATCAAATTAAAAGTGGCACAAATCTATTCCACATAACTAAATTAATCTTTACCTTTTCTAATTCTTGGATATTAATTTCATGTAACCACCGAAGATGTTCATGAGCTTGTAAAAAATTCGCCAGCTGTCCATGCTGAGAAATGGGCGGAGATAACAGTTTGCCTCGTTTCCCTTTCTCCAGGTACCAACGGAAGAGAAAGTCTGAAAAATCCTACATAAAACACAGCCAAGAATTTATTAATATTTAAAGATATGGATATACTTCTGATAATCAAATACTTTATCTTCCAAAGGTCTTGCAGTCCAAAATAAAAATCTTGCTTTACATACTAATTTCCTATGTTATAAGATTTAATAGGAAGTAAATGCCAAGACCCAATTCAGCCCGCCTCATCTGACAAATGATTAAATTCAGATTCAAAAGGAATATCTTGCTCAAGACCACTGAATACTATGGTAACTACCAGCCACATGTGCTGTTTAAACTTCAAGGAACTAAAGTGAAAAGTCACATTGGACAAATTTCAACAGCCAATGTGGGCAGTGGCCACCACACTTGACAGCACGTATGTTTCAAACACCTCCATTATCACAGAAAAGGATAGTCACAGTGATGAGGCAACATCTTCCAAACTCTCAGCGTGAGAATTCTGAATTAGATAGTAAACTGGAACGCCCAAATGAAACAAAACAAAAAACTCACTCACAGTGACCTTATAGGACAGGGTAGAGCTGCCCCTGTGGGTGTCCGAGACTGAACAATTTAGTGGACTAGAAAGTATTTCTCCTGAGGAGCAACCAGTAGTTTCACACTGCCAACCTTGTGGTTGGTAGCGCAACTCATAACCACTACACCAAAGCCCAGTCCATTTCCCCCCATGTCGTCTATGAGTGCTGGCTTGGTGCAGGAGGCTGGCTGGGAAGTCAGAGTCAAAGGACCTGCAGGCTTACAGGGCTTAAGAGATTTTTCCACTCAAGGTGGAAATCCTACATCACACATCAGTCTCTCTTTCCAATATTTTTGAAACCAAGTAAAACCAATATAACAAAATTGCACCCATGTCCTGGCCCAGCTATTTCTGATTGGATTGAACGGTCTGCCTCTTGCTTTTTCTATCTGAACATAAAAAGAAAGGGCAACTCTTTAGAAGAAAACAAAATCAACTTTCATCTTATGGTTCATCTTTATATAGACTATGTTCAAAATACAACTTAAAAGAGAAAAGAATATTGGTAAAAGAGATACAAGCAGGAGAAAAATATCACTAATAAGCAAAAAGGAAAAGAGAGCAGGTGAGGGAGCAAGCAGGAGCCCGTCCGGCTGAGCCAAAGGAGCAGTGCCTGAAGTAAAGGAGCTTGGCTCTTCTCTTCACGCTCCTCTGGCCGCGGGTCCAATAGCGGTGAAGTTGACAAAAGCTAACACGGAAAGCGCACGTTGCTCCCGAACACCCTGTATGGAAGGCAAAGCCTGGGGAATCTTCCAGGGCCCTGTCGTCCTCTAACAAAGAAGCGCAGCAGCAGAGATGGCTATGCTTCGGACTGGGAAAACGAGGTATGCCAGTGTTCAGGACTTCAAAAGGAAAAGTCCGAATTGATATTAGAGAATATCGGATGAACCAGAAAGATGAAATGAAACCAAGAAAAAGACACTTATTTCTTTAAACCTTGAGCAGTGGAGCCAGTTGAAAGGACAGATTTCTGATATTGATGACACACAGTAAGAAAACGAAAATCAAACCATAGCCATCCTGCATGGTTCTAGTCATTGTAACCTGCCTTTTTATATTGGCTTTTATTTTCTATTGTTTCCCAAGCTGTTGTATATTTGGCTTGCAGAACAATTTGTAAATGAATACCTTTTTTTTTAAAGTGCATTATTAAACACGTCACCTTTATTAAGGAGGATTGCTTTTGCCCATAAGCATAAAGTCAAGCAAGACAATTAAAAAAAACAAAAAGAGCAGAAGAAGCGAACTCAGGCACAATCACTTTGGGGTTCAGTATATAAGGACTTTAAGATAGCTACTAAGTATGTTACAGGAACTTTTTTAAAAGACAGAGACCAAGCAAACATGGAAAATGTCACAAGGGAGCTCCCACTGGCATGAAGTCGATTCTGACTCACAACAAGCCTATTGGACAGAGTATAAGTGTGTCTTAGGGTTTCCCAGCCTGTCCATGTTTATGAGACTAGACAGCCTCATCTTTCTCTCTCAAACAGATAGCTAGGGTCTATTTTTAAAAAAAACATGATGTGTGCAAAAGTGTTTAGTAATAATAGTTTAAAATACTAGGTAAATTATGTCCAACAACCAGCCACTGATCAAATAATACCATTTACAGTAAAGAAATCATTAAAAAAGATCAGTTTTACTTATCAGATAGAGACTGGAGGAACCCTTTAGACCAGGGGTCCTCAAACTTTTTAAACAGGGAGCCAGTTCACTGTCCCTCAGACCCATTAGAGGGCCGGACTATAGTTTTAAAACAAACTATGAACAAATTCCTATGCACACTGCACATATCTTATTTTGAAGTAAAAAAACAAATGGGGCAAACACACCCAGCGGGTTGGATAAATGTCTTCAGCGGGCTGCAGCCGCATGTGGCCCGCGGGCCGTAGTTTGAGGACGCCTGCTTTAGACTGTGGCCCCGAGTCATCCTTCAGGTGTGGAAATAAACTCACCCATGTGGCTCAGTTTTCAGTCAAATAATAGGTAGGCCCATGTGGGGAACAATAACATCAGGGAGGTATCTATTACTTAGAATAATCTACTACTTGAGATCAAGAGGGCAGCCGTAGACTCAGGAAAAGGTTCAGAAGGGTTAGGAAAGGAGGAGGACTGGAAATGGGAAACCAGAGAGGAAGTAGGATTGCAATTATCGACAGGAAACAAAATGTGTAAGAACTGTTCAATGGAAAACTGATCTGCCCTGTAAACCCTCCCTTAATTTACAATAAGAGTTTGTTTTGTTTTAAACTGCAGAATGTTTTATGGGGTGGACAAATGTGACATAGTAAAGGTGAAAAAAATGTAACTGACAGACTAGCTTTGTAGTAATATTGAGTAAAAAATACTGAAAGAATACACAAGGTGCTCTGGTGGTACAACGGTTAATGACTTGGTGGTTCACACCCACCAGCTGTTCCTCAGGAGAAAAGACCTCGCAGTCTGCTCTTGTAAAGATTACAGCCTAGGAAACCATATGATACGGGGTAGTCCTACTGTGTGCTACTATTCTTGATCAGTTAGAATCGACGTGATAGTACTTAAATAGCAACAGAAAAAAAAATTACACAAAAATCAAATAAGTCAATTAGTTTAATAGCCAACTTAAAATTACCTTTATGGTACTAATGTGAAACTTTTAAAAAACAAGAACCAAAATGTAGACCCTTCTGTGGATAGAAATCAGAGCTCTCTAAACATTGTGCTCGCATTTTATGTTTCTAGTATTTTCTGTTCAGACCTTTAGAACTTTACCAATATCCGTGCACCTAATAACTGTAATTATATAATGAAAAATATAAGAACATAAATGAATGTTTTAACATACTTTCAAAAGTCAAGTCTTGCAGCCATATTAAGCCAAAATAAGCCACACGTGAGGCAAAATAACCACACCCACTGTCATCTAGTCAATTAGCACTCACAGTGACCCTCTTTGCACGACTGTAAGGGAGACTTTAAGGGAGCAGACGGCCTCACCTTTCTCCCCTGGAACAGCTGCCAGGTTTGAAGTACGACCTTCTAGTATGCAGCTCAACACTTAATCCACAGTTACCAGGGCTTCTTAACATTTGTACATAATGAATTGTTTTTC